TAGTCCACACCTGTAACACCAGTTAAGGACTATTTAGTCCACTCCTGTAACACCAGTTAATTACTATTCAGTCCACTCCTGTAACACCAGTTAAGGACTATTCAGTCCACTCCTGTAACACCAGTTAAGGACTACTTAGTCCACACCTATAACACCAGTTAAGGACTATTTAGTTCAATACTGTAACACCACTTAAGGACTATTTAGTTCACTACTGTAACACCAGTTAAGGACTATTAAGTCCATACCTGTAACACGAGTTTAGGACTATTTAGTCCAGACCTGTAACACCAGTGAAGGACTATTTAGTCCTCTCCTGTAACACCAGCTAAGGACTATTTAGTACACTCCTGTAACACCAGCTAAGGACTACTTAGTACACACCTATAACACCAGCTAAGGACTATTTAGTTCGCTACTGTAACACCAGTTCAGGACTATTTAGTCCCCACCTATAACACCAGTTAAGGACTATTTAGTTCACTACTGTAACACCAGTTTAGGACTATTCAGTCCACTCCTGTAACACCAGTTAAGGACTATTTAGTCCACTCCTGTAACACCAGTTAAGGACTACTTAGTCCACTCCTGACATTTCAAATCTAGCCTTAAGCTGGTTATACGGATAGTAAAAATCTTCCAGAAGCTCAGAATTTGATGAAAGTTCAAATTGCCAACAACGTGATAGGTGCCATTTACATCGATAACTGATAATCTAAATATCAAAAATAATGCAAAACTACGAGAACTTTTCATGAAGGATCCAAAGTATCGGAGGTCTCCTACTAACAATTAGAATGTGCATTTCAAGGTTTTGATGGATTCTCTTGAAGACTACGCCAGATAATCGGCAAAACGAGGGCATGCTGAATTGAGTTCCTGATTGGGGCGGGCCCATAATTTGAACTACGCTTGTTTTATAACCAAGGAAAACCTACTTGCTTTTATTTTTATTTTTGAAAGACGTTATACTAGCTAATAACGCTATGTATAACAGTTTTTGTGAATACCGATTTATCGTTAGTGATAGGGATCTTGTACTACCTTGTTTATAATGGATCTCAAAATGTCACAAAAATCCATGTAAACAATGTATATCGCTGGCCTAGATGGTTGTTCAACAAGGCCAGCATTCACACTTCTTACCTCCTACCATTCTGAGTTCCAGTAAGTCAGGATAGCAGTCATACGGTGACACTATTAACTGTGGCGGTCGAAGACATGTAGTGTGGAATTCGAAGAACATTGAGCATCTCCAAAAACGTTTCTGTTATCAGAACATTTTGACAATGCCACTGTAAACTAAAGAGTCACTTTCGCTCTTTGTTTTGATAGCTTTCTTTTCTGAGTAAGGCAAACTGCGATATAAATGGTTGTCAACTATTTTGACGTATATCTGATGAAACACGCGACAAACAAGCCAAGACGAAATATCATGAGGATCAAAAGCGAGAGAATGATTGAGATCATGGCTGACAATATCTATGTTGAGTTTGGTGGCAGTATTTTGCAGCAGATTGTAAGCATTCATTGCCTCTCTTCTGACCGAATTCATTGAAAAAAAAAATCAGGTACATTATAGATTTTCCGCCATTACTATATGTTGTGCTTATCATTTGTAATTTTGGTAAAGGAATCTGTTCTATAAATTGTCGCCTGTTCATATGGTCATGACTTACGTAGGCGCCTTATATTGTGACAATGTACTTGGCACAACGGAAATCGGAACTAATCGGCGAGATTATAAAATCACGCTAGTTCGTTCTGTCTAGTAATGTAACAATCAGGCAACATGATTTATTATGAAGGTGCTGGCGTTTCTTGTCCTTTGTGGCTGTTCATATGGCATCTCTGTTCACCGAGGTGTTTGTGGCGGAAGGATGAGATCCTTAAACAACAGGGCCATCATCTTTAGACGAGGGATGAACTACACTGTGATGTTCCACAACGCCACCCACCCCGGATCGGTCGATGTCTCCCTCAAGCAGAGGACCCCTGGCCGCTACTTCAGTCGTACCTTAGCGTCAGTGCCAGACACGTCGGCCCCTTCCCTTACTCCGTACGACGTCGACGTTCACGTCCCGAAAGTCCCGGGTTCTTCCTCGAAGTCACTTACACTACCGACACTCTCCCTGTTATATTCAAACAGTGCGCAGACATCCTCCTCGTCTGGCCACCTCGGAGGAATCCAGCCGCAGGGTTCTCTAGGCGTGTGGGACGTCATGATGTAACAACTTCCTCCTGTTTCATGACTGTGTAGGTATCAAAACACGAGATTACAACAACGTCACTATGGTGGTACTATTCTGGGAGGAGAACGTATGTCATTAGTCCACTTCTCTATACCGTGCTCGTCGGAAATGCATCAAAATGGTTCTTAAATTGGGATTTTTCAGTAAAGTTACTTTAAAGTAATGAACTAACGTCATTGAAATTTGAAGTTGTATGTTGGCGGTTTTTTTTTATTCGAAAATGTGCTGTTATTACGAAATTTAGTAGCTGGGGATCCCATACTCCTGAATTTTTCTTTTATTGACATTAGCATTGTCCATTATAAGTATTTGGACTTTTATTGACATTAGCATTGTCCGTTGTAAGTATTTGGACTTTTATTGACATTAGCATTGTCCGTTGTAAGTATTTGGACTTTTATTGACATTAGCATTGGCCATTATAGGTATTTGGACTTTTATTGACATTATCATTGTCCATTATAAGTATTTGGACTTTTATTGACATTGGCCTTGTCCATTATAAGTATTTGGACTTTTATTGACATTAGCATTGTCCATTATAGGTATTTGGACTTTTATTGACATAAGCATTGTCCATTGTAAGTATCTGGACTTTTATTGACATTAGCATTGTCCATTATAGGTATTTGGACTTTTACTGACATTAGCATTGTCCATTATAGGTATTTGGACTTTTATTGACATTAGCATTGTCAATTATAAGTATTTGGACTTTTATTGACATTAGCATGGTCCATTATAAGTATTTGGACTTTTATTGACATAAGCATTGTCCATTGTAAGTATCTGGACTTTTATTGACATTAGCATTGTCCATTATAGGTATTTGGACGTTTATTGACATTAGCATTGTCCATTATAAGTATTTGTTCTTTTATTGACATTAGCATTGTCCATTATAAGTATTTGTACTTTTATTGACATAAGCATTGTCCATTATAGGTATTTGGACTTTTATTGACATAAGCATTGTCCATTGTAAGTATCTGGACTTTTATTGACATTAGCATTGTCCATTATAAGTATTTGTACTTTTATTGACATAAGCATTGTCCATTATAGGTATTTGGACTTTTACTGACATTAGCATTGTCCATTATAGGTATTTGGACGTTTATTGACATTAGCATTGTCCATTATAAGTATTTGTACTTTTATTGACATAAGCATTGTCCATTATAGGTATTTGGACTTTTATTGACATAAGCATTGTCCATTGTAAGTATCTGGACTTTTATTGACATTAGCATTGTCCATTATAAGTATTTGTACTTTTATTGACATAAGCATTGTCCATTATAGGTATTTGGACTTTTACTGACATTAGCATTGTCCATTATAGGTATTTGGACGTTTATTGACATTAGCATTGTCCATTATAAGTATTTGGCCTCTATTGACATTAGCATTGTCCATTATAAGTATTTGAACTTTTATTGACATAAGCATTGTCCATTATAAGTATTTGGACTTTTATTGACATAAGCATTGTCCATTGTAAGTATCTGGACTTTTATTGACATTAGCATTGTCCATTATAGGTATTTGGACTTTTATTGACATTATCATTGTCCATTATAAGTATTTGGACTTTTATTGACATTAGCATTGGCCATTATAGGTATTTGGACTTTTATTGACATTATCATTGTCCATTATAAGTATTTGGACTTTTATTGACATTAGCATGGTCCATTATAAGTATTTGGACTTTTATTGACATAAGCCTTGTCCATTGTAAGTATTTGGACTTTTATTGACATTAGCATTGTCAATTATAGGTATTTGGACTTTTATTGACATTAGCATTGTCCGTTGTAAGTATTTGGACTTTTATTGACATTAGCATTGTCAATTATAAGTATTTGGACTTTTATTGACATTAGCATGGTCCATTATAAGTATTTGGACTTTTATTGACATAAGCATTGTCCATTGTAAGTATCTGGACTTTTATTGACATTAGCATTGTCCATTATAGGTATTTGGACTTTTATTGACATAAGCATTGTCCATTGTAAGTATCTGGACTTTTATTGACATTAGCATTGTCCATTATAGGTATTTGGACTTTTACTGACATTAGCATTGTCCATTATAGGTATTTGGACGTTTATTGACATTAGCATTGTCCATTATAAGTATTTGGCCTCTATTGACATTAGCATTGTCCATTATAAGTATTTGTACTTTTATTGACATTAGCATTGTCTATTATAAGTATTTGGCCTCTATTGACATTAGCATTGTCCATTATAAGTATTTGGCCTCTATTGACATTAGCATTGTCGATTAGAAGTATTTGGAATTTTATTGACATAAGCATTGTCCATTATAGGTATTTGGACTTTTATTGACATAAGCATTGTCCATTGTAAGTATCTGGACTTTTATTGACATTAGCATTGTCCATTATAGGTATTTGGACTTTTACTGACATTAGCATTGTCCATTATAGGTATTTGGACTTTTATTGACATAAGCATTGTCCCTTATAGGAATTTGGACTTTTATTGACATTAGCATTGTCCATTGTAAGTATTTGGACTTTTATTGACATTAGCATTGTCCATTGTAAGTATTTGGACTTTTATTGACATTAGCATAGAAATCTTTTCATATGATGCAAGGTTACAATATACCTGAATGTATTTTATATTGGATCCATCATGATTAATGTTGATCATGTTTATCTAACTCCAGTTAATCAATTTTCAAATTACAAAAAAATATAAACAAGCTTGATAAAGTTTTCTTTCTTTAATTTAAAATTTAATGAGACTTATGTAAACATGATAAGCAATGGTGATGAGTTGACAAGTTTCTTTCTATTAAATGATGTAATCAAGTAATTGACTTACTTAAGAACCAGTCAGGCTGCGTAGGTATTCAAGGCAATACGTTTGATAAGTAGTATGCAAAAATCCCCAGCTTTATACCCATTTTTTGTACTTCAAATATTTTGCTATTGATCTGATGAATTCTGAATGTTCGCAAAGCCAACAACTAGCATGTTTAAGTATCCATCATGCTATAGCTACTACATCCTTGAGGAAGGTCCATAATGGACGACCACGAAAATCCAATGGCCCTGATGTTGTATTCATTGTAATCAAAAGTTCAGGATTTTAACCAAACAAAATGACTGAAGGCTTTGATCAACCTGTACAATAACGATATAAACTAACACCTCCCTCGTTTACGCCAATGTTGAATTGACCATGATCAAAAGTTCAGGATTTTAACCAAACAAAATGACTGAAGGCTTTAATCAACCTGTACATGAACTGTTTTAAACTAACACCTCTGTTGTTTGATTGGCAGTCTGTTAGTTAATAAATGCGGGCAATGGTGACAGCCTGGCAGATGATAAAACAGGGCTCACTGTGGTAAAGATTTGTTTAACCCTTACACCCCTGTAGACCATAATGGACTTATCCATATCAATGCTTGGTTGAGTTTATTAAACTACATCGGGGTGGAAGGGTTAATATACCACAACACCTATAACTACATGATCACCAACCCTAGTGTCAATACATCACAAAATTAAATCGTTTAAGCTGAATTTCTCCTGTTTCTTAACAGATTGATATTTTTTCAGGGGGTTCAGACAAGTAAAATATCAATAAATCCACAATATTTTTCATGCAAATCCTTAACTTTGTAATCAACAAGCACCTGTCTTTGTCCTTTAATGATGTACATTCCTCGCAAATATGTCAGTCATATGCAATTGTGAAAATAACAAAAATTTGCAAACCCTGATTTAAAGTACGGCATATATGTCTTAGGTCTTCTCTTCACGCAGTAACAAGTCATTACACCCAGTATGTTCATGAAAAAGTCATCCTTCAGTGTTTGTGGCCCCGTTAAATTGCGAGTACATCTGTCTGAATTTCATGACTAAGTTGCGTTTGTAAGTCACTGAGCTTCTTTTTCAACACACCAAGTCCGGAGAAGACAATGTTTTCTGGTCGTAATGACCCACACGCCTCCACATTCATGAAAAATTTGTTTGCTTTTCCAGTGGGATTGAAAGGGGCTTCATCTGTAAAAAACAATAAATGGTTTGTTAGACATCGGTTCAACAACAATGGTGGGGTATTTTTGTTTTAATATATTTCCTTTTATACAATTTTTGACAGTCTCACAACAATCTCATCATGAATATTATACCATTAAATGTTTATATCATTCCTCCTTTGACTTACAGCAGACCAGTATTTCATCCTGTGATCGTTTGCAACAATGATGTGCCCAATTTAATACAAACAAGTGCATGGTAGAGGAGGCAAATTTGAGGTGTAATGAAAAAGGCAGAAGATTTGAAGTGTGGAAGAGGTGAAGATAGTAGCAGAGTTAAAGCACAGAGGAGAAGGCGGGAGCCGCAACAGCGGCAGCAGATTTGAAGTGTGATTGGAAAAGGTTGCAGTAGATTATAAATGTGGAAGATGAGGAGGTGGCGTTTTTTAGTTGGTGGGAGAGGAGACAGCAGATCTAAGAGCTACTTACGTGTGTCTTCATCAAGTTCAGAGAATTCACTCTTGGGCCTGCAACAGATTATTCACATATTAATCCACAAAACTTAAATTCAGACCGTCGATGCGTAAAATTAAGTCTGCTCAATACAATGTCAAATGTTTTACTGATAAAAATATCCATAAATTCCTTTTCATCTAAGGAGGTGTTTATGTTTTCCTAATTTGATTGTTGTGCACTTCAGGTTGAATGGGGAAAGATCACTGGGAAGGTGTAGCCAGGAAGTGTTACTTTGAAATATAGGCCTACCGGTATTTGGTTGAACGTGGTGATACAACTTATTACTAGGAAATAAGTGTTTCAGTTTTGACAAGTTACACTTTCCATAACCATACAATTTTTAAATGCTTATACTATGGTTTTCAGAAAGTATGATTTTAAAACAGACAACATAATTACAATCTTTAGTAAATCTTGGTAGCTTGGTCATTAACCCTAGGTTAACAGGATCAACATTTCCCATTTGTTGTCACTCATTACACATGAAAGATACAGTTATAACTACCATCCCAACTTGTATGGGTCCACTGATCATTAATGAGGACATCGCTTTTATTTTGAACATGAAATTTTGGCTATAACTAACCATTCCTCTGGTTTGGGGAATGTTGTGTGGCGCAATGAATTATCTGGATCATATTCGAAGGATACACCGGCAGTCGGGTTCCATTTTGCATGTTCTTTCGCAAATCCTTTCCTGGCAAATGCTTTTATTTTCACCTCCTGTCCTTTCCTCAGTTTGACAATCAGTATGTCTGAAAATTAACAATATAATAAAAGTGATCCGTCAAAAAATCTGCATATAAACTTTGTGATTTAAAATAAAGCAGCTAAACACAAACATAATGTATAAAATCTGTACAACATGCCCAAGTATTGCAAGCTAACTTTGGTATCAAAAATGTACAAAGAGTCATAACTCTGCTGCATTTAGCGGCACAAGACCTGGTTTAGTGAGTGCCTCCGACAAAGTGATTCACGGTGAACAAAGGGAAATAACTCTAATATGCCCCCTAACAATGTGAAGCACAGACTGACGAACAGACAGCAGGCAAAAGTACAGCTCCCTTTAGTGGGAAACTTATAATTACCCTTTATAAGAACAATACATCAATATAGACATAATACCATATTCCATTTTCTTACAAAAGGGGAACTTATCCAAAAATATTAGATGCTTTTCAAATGTTCAAAGTTTACTGATGGCATAATTCCCAGCTATACTCTACTGACATGGCACTGGAAGGATTACTATCAAGGGAACCTGTGTCATCTTTATCATTAGGACACTGTACTGTTGCTGGACATTCAAGGGGTTGTGTCCAAATTTCCATTACATATACGCACTTATTCTAATCTTTTTATAAAGATGAAAATAGAAATGATGAGCAACAACACCACTGAATCCGGTACAAAATGTAATGTTTGATTTACACCCACCCCCCAGTTTAGTAAAGATGGTTGAAATGAATTCCATTGGATATTAGGATATTGAAAGAACAAGAGGCCCAATGGGCCTGCATCGCTCACCTGGTATAAAACTCACACTTGTAACCTTAAAAGTGATCTAAAATAAAGCTACAGGCAAAATATCAGTATTTATGATTAAAATTCGTTCAAACGACCCTGTTAATTTTTTTTAAAACATTTCCCCCCTGTGATTGAAAGTCGAACAAAGTCATTATGTTGAACACATTGTATAGCCTTTCATCTCAGGATGCAACTTGCAAAGTATAAACATCCTGGGACCCATGGTTATTCATAAGAGGTTGTTTAAAGATTTTAAACAAATTTGACCCCTGTGACCTTGAATATAAGTCAAAGTCATTCACTTTAACAAACATAGTAGTCCTTGATCCCAGCATATGCTACTAACTAAATATCAACATCCTGAGCCTTTTGGTTATTCAGAACAAGTTGTTGAAATATTTTAAACATATTTGCTCCTTGTGACCTTGAATATGATTCAAGGTCATACATTTAAACAAACTTGGTAGCCCTTGATCCTAGTATGCTACTGACTAAATATCATCACCCAGGGCATTTTGGTTATTCAGAAGAAGTTGTTTAAAGTTTTTAACATATTTGACCCCTGTGACCTTGAATATGGGTGAAGGTCATTTATTTGAACAAACTTTGTAGCCCTTTATCTCAGCATGCTACTGGCCAAATATCATTACCCTGGGCATTTTGGTTATTGAGAAGAAGTTGTTTAAAGTTTTTAACATATTTGACCCCTGTGACCTTGAATATGGGTGAAGGTCATTCATTTGAACAAACTTTGTAGCCCTTCATCTCAGCATGCTACTGGCCAAATATCATCACCCTGGGCATTTTGGTTATTCAGAAGAAGTTGTTTAAAGTTTTTAACATATTTGACCCCTGTGACCTTGAATATGGGTGAAGGTCATTCATTTGAACAAACTTTGTAGCCCTTCATCTCAGCATGCTACTGGCCAAATATCATCACCCTGGGCATTTTGGTTATTCAGAAGAAGTTGTTTAAAGTTTTTAACATATTTGACCCCTGTGACCTTGAATATGGGTGAAGGTCATTCATTTGAACAAACTTTGTAGCCCTTCATCTCAGCATGCTACTGGCCAAATATCATCACCCTGGGCATTTTGGTTATTCAGAAGAAGTTGTTTAAAGTTTTTAACATATTTGACCCCTGTGACCTTGAATATGGGTGAAGGTCATTCATTTGAACAAACTTTGTAGCCCTTCATCTCAGCATGCTACTGGCCAAATATCATCACCCTGGGCATTTTGGTTATTCAGAAGAAGTTGTTTAAAGTTTTTTTAAGACAATTGACCCCTGTGACCTTGAATATAATTGAAGGTCATTCATTTGAACAAACTTGGTAGCCCTTCACCCTAGCATGCTACTGACCAAATATCATCTCCCTGGGCAGTTTGGTTATTGAGAAGAAGTTGTTTAAAGTTTTTAACATATTTGACCCCTGTGACCTTGAAAATAAATGAAGGTCATTTATTTGAACAAACTTGGTAGCCCTTCATCCCAGTTTGCTTCTGGCCAAATATCATCACCCTAGGCCATTCGGTTATTAAGAAGAAGTCGTTTAAAGTAAAATATTGACGCCGGACGGACGACGGACGCCGCACCACGGCATAAGCTCACTTCGTGCCAGGTGAGCTAAAAATGCTTTACACTTCAATTGCCTTGCAGCAAAAAGGAGGAAATGTTGAGGTAATGTCTCAAACAGATGGAGGTCAACAATACAATAACCATACCATCTGTGTCTTCATATTCACTGGCCTCTTCTTTGTGTCGTGACGTCACCTAGAAATAGTTAACACAGATGATTATAATATTACTGAAAATATCATCACCTTGTCTGAACAAAGATGAAAAAACATCAGAGGATCACAAATATTTTGTATCAGGTTTCTTGAGGCTTGATGAAAACTTTTTTGTTTTTATAGTATCTATATTATTTGACAACATTCATAATAAGAGGTACTGAAAAACTTGGTAACTCACCGGAACAACTTTGGGGTTAGTCGAAATAAGGTCAGCACTGGTCACATGACAGGTACGGTCATCAGTACATTTTACCTCTAAGTTAAACTCCACAGAACAGTCAGTACAAAACTCCTCACAGGTACAGTCCTGTAACCATGAGAAACAGAACAGTCAGTACATAACTCCTCACAGGTACAGTGCTGTAACGATGATAAACAGAAGACTCGGTACAAAACTCCTCATAGGTACAGTCCTGTCACGATGAGAAACAGAACAGTCAGTATAAAACTCCTCACAGGTACATTCCTGTAACGATGATAAAAAGAACTGTCAGTACAAGACTCCTCACAGGTACAGTCTTGTAACGATGATAAACAGAAAAGTCGTTACAAAACTCCTCACAGGAACAGTCCTGTAACGATGGCGAACACAACAGTCAGTACAAAACTCATCACAGGTACAGTCCTGTATCCATGATAAACAGAACAGTCGGTACAAAACTCCTTACAGGTACAGTCCTGTAACGATAATAAACAGAACAGTCCGTACAAAACTCCTCACAGGTATAGTCCTGTAACGATGATAACCAGAACAGTCGGTACAAAACTCCTTACAGGTACAGTCCTGTAACCATTATAAACAGAACAGTCAGTACATAACTCCTCAAAGGTACAGTCCTGTAACCATGAGAAACAGAACAGTCAGTATAAAACTCCTCACAGGTACATTCCTGTAACGATGATAAACAGCTAAGTTAAACTCCACAGACCAGTCAGTCCAAAACTCCTCACAGGTACAGACCTGTCACGATGATAAACAGGACAGTCAGTACAAAACTCCCCACAGGTACAGTCCTGTAAAGATGATAAACAGAACAGTCAGTTCATAACTCCTCACAGGTACAGTACTGTAACCATGATAAACAGAACAGACAGTACAAAACTCCTCACAGGTCCAGTCCTGTAACGATGATAACCAGAACAGTCGGTACAAAACTCCTCGTAACCATGATAAACAGAACACTCGGTACGAAACTCCTCACAGGTACAGACCTGTCACGATGATAAACATAACAGTCAGTACAAAACTCATCACAGGTACAGTCCTGTAACCAGGATAAACAGAACAGTCAGTACATAACTCCTCAAAGGTACAGTCCTGTAACCATGAGAAACAGAACAGTCAGTACATAACTCCTCACAGGTACAGTCTTGTGACGATGATAAACAGAACAGGCAGTACAAAGCTCCTCACAGGTACAGTCCTGCAACGATGATAAACAGAACAGGCAGTACAAAACTCCTCACATGTACAGTCCTGTAACGATGGCGAAAAGAACAGTCAGTACAAAACTACTCACAGGTACAGTCCTGTACCATGATAAACAGATCAGTCAGTACAAAACTCCTAACAGGTACAGTCCTGTAACGATAATAAACAGAACACTCGGTACAAAACCCCTCACAGGTACAGTCCTGCAACGATGATAAACAGAACACTCGGTACGAAACTCCTCACAGGTACAGTACTGTAACGATGATAAACACAACACTCGGTACAAAACTCCTCATAGGTACAGTCCTGTCACGATAATAAACAGAACAGTCCGTACAAAACTCCTCACAGGTATAGTCCTGTAACGATGATAACCAGAACAGTCGGTACAAAACTCCTAACAGGTACAGTCCTGTAACGATGAAAAACAGAACAGTCGTTACAAAACTCCTCACAGGTCCAGTCCTGTAACGATGATAACCAGAACAGTCGGTACAAAACTCCTAACAGGTACAGTCCTGTAACCATGAGAAACAGAACAGTCAGTATAAAACTCCTCACAGGTACATTCCTGTAACGATGATAAAAAGAACTGTCAGTACAAAACTCCTCACAGGTACAGTCCTGTAACGATGGCGAACAGAACAGTCAGTACAAAACTCCTCACAGGTACAGTCCTGTAACGATGATAAACAGAACAGTCAGTACAAAACTCCTCACAGGTACAGTCCTGTAACGATGATAAACAGAACAGTCAGTACAAAACTCCTCACAGGTACAGTCCTGTAACGATGATAAACAGAACAGTCAGTACAAAACTCCTCACAGGTACAGTCCTGTAACGATGATAAACAGAACAGTCAGTACAAAACTCCTCACAGGTACAGTCCTGTAACGATGATAAACAGAACAGTCAGTACAAAACTCCTCACAGGTACAGTCCTGTAACGATGATAAACAGAACAGTCAGTACAAAACTCCTCACAGGTACAGTCCTGTAACGATGATAAACAGAACAGTCAGTACAAAACTCCTCACAGGTACAGTCCTGTAACGATGATAAACAGAACAGTCAGTACAAAACTCCTCACAGGTACAGTCCTGTAACGATGATAAACAGAACAGTCAGTACAAAACTCCTCACAGGTACAGTCCTGTAACGATGATAAACAGAACAGTCAGTACAAAACTCCTCACAGGTACAGTCCTGTAACGATGATAAACAGAACAGTCAGTACAAAACTCCTCACAGGTACAGTCCTGTAACGATGATAAACAGAACAGTCAGTACAAAACTCCTCACAGGTACAGTCCTGTAACGATGATAAACAGAACAGTCAGTACAAAACTCCTCACAGGTACAGTCCTGTAACGATGATAAACAGAACAGTCAGTACAAAACTCCTCACAGGTACAGTCCTGTAACGATGATAAACAGAACAGTCAGTACAAAACTCCTCACAGGTACAGTCCTGTAACGATGATAAACAGAACAGTCAGTACAAAACTCCTCACAGGTACAGTCCTGTAACGATGATAAACAGAACAGTCAGTACAAAACTCCTCACAGGTACAGTCCTGTAACGATGATAAACAGAACAGTCAGTACAAAACTCCTCACAGGTACAGTCCTGTAACGATGATAAACAGAACAGTCAGTACAAAACTCCTCACAGGTACAGTCCTGTAACGATGATAAACAGAACAGTCAGTACAAAACTCCTCACAGGTACAGTCCTGTAACGATGATAAACAGAACAGTCAGTACAAAACTCCTCACAGGTACAGTCCTGTAACGATGATAAACAGAACAGTCAGTACAAAACTCCTCACAGGTACAGTCCTGTAACGATGATAAACAGAACAGTCAGTACAAAACTCCTCACAGGTACAGTCCTGTAACGATGATAAACAGAACAGTCAGTACAAAACTCCTCACAGGTACAGTCCTGTAACGATGATAAACAGAACAGTCAGTACAAAACTCCTCACAGGTACAGTCCTGTAACGATGATAAACAGAACAGTCAGTACAAAACTCCTCACAGGTACAGTCCTGTAACGATGATAAACAGAACAGTCAGTACAAAACTCCTCACAGGTACAGTCCTGTAACGATGATAAACAGAACAGTCAGTACAAAACTCCTCACAGGTACAGTCCTGTAACGATGATAAACAGAACAGTCAGTACAAAACTCCTCACAGGTACAGTCCTGTAACGATGATAAACAGAACAGTCAGTACAAAACTCCTCACAGGTACAGTCCTGTAACGATGATAAACAGAACAGTCAGTACAAAACTCCTCACAGGTACAGTCCTGTAACGATGATAAACAGAACAGTCAGTACAAAACTCCTCACAGGTACAGTCCTGTAACGATGATAAACAGAACAGTCAGTACAAAACTCCTCACAGGTACAGTCCTGTAACGATGATAAACAGAACAGTCAGTACAAAACTCCTCACAGGTACAGTCCTGTAACGATGATAAACAGAACAGTCAGTACAAAACTCCTCACAGGTACAGTCCTGTAACGATGATAAACAGAACAGTCAGTACAAAACTCCTCACAGGTACAGTCCTGTAACGATGATAAACAGAACAGTCAGTACAAAACTCCTCACAGGTACAGTCCTGTAACGATGATAAACAGAACAGTCAGTACAAAACTCCTCACAGGTACAGTCCTGTAACGATGATAAACAGAACAGTCAGTACAAAACTCCTCACAGGTACAGTCCTGTAACGATGATAAACAGAACAGTCAGTACAAAACTCCTCACAGGTACAGTCCTGTAACGATGATAAACAGAACAGTCAGTACAAAACTCCTCACAGGTACAGTCCTGTAACGATGATAAACAGAACAGTCAGTACAAAACTCCTCACAGGTACAGTCCTGTAACCATGATAAACAGAACAGTCAGTACAAAACTCCTCACAGGTACAGTCCTGTCACGATGATAAACAGAACAGTCAGTACAAAACTCCTCACAGGTACAGTCCTGTAACCATGATAAACAGACTAATAATATTCTGTCCACTTGTCTTACTACAACCTACTAATCACCCTCTCTGTTGTCATAACTTACAACTTAGAATGGAGCAAATTCAAGAGAAAAACAAGTTTTTTTTATCTTTACATAAAACACTGAAATAGAAAGTGATGTTACATATATAACAAAAATATATTCATGCAATATGCTACCTGCATTTTATAATACTGTAGGTACATGTCATTTAGTGGCAGCATAGCAACCATGTATTGTTATGGATCAAAATTTAGGTTTTGATGTTCCATAATTAAAGTCACCAATGTTTAATACCCTGGAGTACTGCATCCTGTCGACCATTTCATCACTAGTCAATGGGATCAGACCGATTCGGTGGGAGATGAACTCGTCAAACAGGACAGTCGTGTTGGACTCTATCTGTACCCAGTCTATGGCTGGAACACAAATACACATAAAAATGTTAACAAGAGGCCCAATGGGCACGTAACAAACATATCTATACACAGTCTATGGTTGGAACACACATAAATACTGTCATGAACTCCTTGTGATCTTTTATGAATACTTTCATGAAATAGAGCTGTACTAAGACAGATTTGACAGATTTATGAATATATTATCAGTATGATTAAATATGTGATCTATCTGTTTCCTGTTTGTTAAGAAGTTGTTTAAAGAAAAAGATGAAGCTGCATGGACGATGAATACCAGGTATGAGCTCACAGGCACTTTCAAGTTTGTACCATGTGAACTGAAAATACTGGAACTCCATTCAGCACAGTTTTAATTAAAAGGTTTTTCTTTGCTTGAACTTTGCACATAATCTAAAGGTTTTGATTTGAAAGTAGAACTGTCACCCATCCAAAGAGAATCGCTACTAAAGCTATTACTTTCAGAAGGTTTGGAATAAACACAGGTGATCATTCTGTCATCAACTTGTTTCATATGTAAATGAAAATAGTAATGATGAGTAACATCTGGTTTCATAGGTGTAAGCACCAAACCAGAGAAACATTCCTTTTGGGCGGTTCTTTGTATGTGTCGCTTAAGCAAGCAGATTCAAATGAAAAGAAAATTAATTAATTAATTAAAGATTAAATTTCATGGCATATTTTGAGGTTTTTGTTTCTGATACAAATCACATCAGCATACCCAATATAATTAATCACTTGATCACTTTTTGTGGAAATCATAAAATTATTAGATGTCATGTGTGATGGCTTAGGTAAAAGAAACAAAAAATAATTGATATAAAATTTTTACTTTGAATAAGAATAAAGCAAGGGAAAGAACAGCCCACAAAGAAGTCTCAATCAATGGCCAGTAGCCTTGCACATCAACCACTAAAACATCTGTAATCATATCACCATTAAACCTTTATATAGTGTCTCCGGGACATCCCAGGTATCATGTAATGGACTTTCATTGAACTTATACATTCAGATATAATTCCCCCTTTTGTTTTGTTGTAATGCTTTCTTGTGCTTAAAATATGCTTAATGTTTTAAGTTTTAAGACAGATATTAATCTCAAACTATCCAATACATGCAAGAATAATTCTTGGCACTATGGGTATTGATTTGTTTTCAAACTTATTGTTCACTTTAAGGCTAATATTGATAAAATATACAAGAACACAATATGTGTAATACATCCTATTCTATGCCATTAAGTAAGGAAGTTGTCATACAAACCTATCGTTGGTACCTCTGCAATACATACTCTTCTTACAGCATTAGAGACACTGCAAAAAACAAACCAATAAATTAGTTTGTTCTCAAATATATATATAACAGTTGTTGTTTTTTGCAACAAGAGGCCCAGCGGGCATGTATCGCTCACCTGGAAATGTTCGCAAAATTGAAGTTGAAGTAGCCAGATGTTGCTGGAAGTGTACATGTATTACATGGTTAGTCAGAGGTTATATTAATATGCAATTGGACAAAATCCTGTCATTCCTACAGGAAAACGAAGATTTTAAAGAATTTGCTATGTTTCACCTATTGGGCCCCACCCCTCTGCCCCCAGGGGGGTCAGACCCACCGTTGATACAAAATTAGCTCCCCTTCACCCAATGATGCTTTAGACCAAATATGGACATAATCCTGTAATTCCTACAGAAGAAGAATTTAAAAGCTATTATTCTATTTGGCCCCCGCCCCTCTGGCCCCAGGGAGTTCAAACTCCCATTTATACAAAATTCATTTCCCTTCCAAATAGGATGCTACTGTTCAAATTGGTCGAAATACCTTCATCGCAACAAAAGAAGAAGGATGTTAAAGCTATTCCTCTTTATCCCTTATTGGGCCCTTCCTCTCTGTCCAAACGGGGGATAGACCCACCGTTAATACAAAATTGGTGCCCCTTCACTCAAGGGTGCTCATCCCAAATTTGGGCAAAATCCTGTCATTCCTACAGAAGAAGACGGATTTTGAAGAATATGCTATGTTTCCCCTATTGGGCCCCGCCTCTCTTCCCAAGGGGGTCAGACCCACCGTTTATATAAAATGTCCCTTCACCAAAAGATGCTTCAGACCAAATATAAACAAAATCCTGTCATTCCTACAGAAGAAGAATTTGCTATATTTCCCCTATTGGGCCCCACCCCTCAGGCCCCAGGGGGGTCAGACCTACCATTTATACAAATTGATTTCCCTTCCCCATAGGATGCTACTGTTCAAATTTGATCAATATACCTTCCTCCAAACGGAAGAAGAGGGATATTAAAGTTTTTTCTCTATATCCCTTATTGGGCCCTTATTGGGTCTGCCCCCAGTGGGGCCACACTCACTGTTTATACAAAATTGAGTCCCTTTTGCCCAAGGATGCTCCAGACAAAATAAGGATAAAATCCCTTAATCCCTACCGTAGAAGAAGGATTTTGAATGGTTTACCTCTATTTCCTCTATTTCCCCTTGCCCCTCTGCACCCAGGGGTTCACACCCACCATTTATACAAAATTGAGAGCCCTTGGTCTAAGGATGCTCCAGACCAAATTTACCAGTCAAAATCTACTGGGCCATTCAGGACTAGTAGCGTTTCAAAGGAAAAGTTGATGGATGGACGACGGACGCTGCAGGATGGCATAATTATAAGCTCACCATGGTCCTTCGGACCAGGTGAGCTAAAGATGTTGTTTTTGCTTTTGAAATATTCCTGTATTATTGTAAAGACTTTACATGTATTAATATTCGGTACCTGTACATTGATATCTATTGATCCTGACACTATTAGATCTGATCCCATAATGGAACCAGATCTCCTACACGACATACTAATAACTGACAGTACACACTCTGTATTACTGCCCTGAAAGCAATTATCCACAGAAATGTTTTTTGTATTCAGAGAATGTGAAAATATCAAATGGAAATGTAACAAATTTTATTACTTTTTAATGCCTCTGCTTGTGAAAAAACGGGTCAGCTTGCGCTCTACCATTTGAGCTTCATGTATAGTGAAACTCTCTTTAGCTGAGTTGGTAGGAAGTGGGTAGTATTTTACCTGAGTGTGACAACGTACATTTTAAACATACCATTTATTTCAATTCTATAACTGAAATTTTAATTTCATCAACTTGTATCAATATTAAACGGGAACTTCATTACAATTCCATTTTTCTTCCAATTTTTAAAGGACCCCATTGAAAATAAGTCACTTTGTGGCTTTAATGGATAATCCTAGGTAAATGGCACACGCCACTCCTATTATGCGACTTATTTATATCTACCCACACCTTCATGTACTAAAAAATAGTTTGTCTCATTTTATAGTAATATCTGCCTTTTTTACAGTGTATTAGACTTTTTTGATTTTTATACTCTGTGATATATATGTCAAGGATTGAATTAAGAAATCATTTATTATGATAGATCTATTCTTATTCTCAGTCTTAATACAAAATATTCTTTTTATTTACAAGCTGCATTGTGATCTTATTTGTATTTTTATTCTAAATTGTGATATCTTGTAATAACATGCCTATTTTAATTTTTTCCTGAATAAATATTATTATTATGACACTGCAGGCAGCGTTATCCGATAAGTTTTGTCAATACCGGTCAAAGTGAAAATAGGATGTGATGAGTACATTATTACATAGTACAGTAACTACAGCACATGTAAGTAAAGGCGAATGACAAATGTACAGTGCGATAGCATGGTGTAAAAAATTCAACCTGAGATCTGTATCCTCTATGATAAACTTGATGTTCTCATCTGTTAGCTGAGATATCTGTACAGTAGGCTGGTTTGCATAAGGCATTCTTCAGCGTGGTCCTTTCTTCAAATCATGAACAAGATTGAACTAAACTTCCGCTTGACGCCAGACGGCGTTATTTACAACATTCTATTATTTATAAGGGAAGTCAGGTTTTGAATAGAGATGTTTATTCCTCACTATGTGGGATAAGGTCTTAACATGAATATCAACTTCTAAATGCTTATTTAATTACTACAACTTTATTATCAATGATGTAATTATATTGTGTTCTCCCCGAGAAAACTGAAAATGTGCCGAAGGGAAACCCATAAGCAGACTTAGAATGATCTAATACACTTCCGGTTGGGAGAAGTTAGTTTTCAACACAATCACAACATATGGAAAGATGTCGTCCTTCTCAGATAGCAGCCTCTCCAAGAAATTAAACGAACTTAATAACACTCAACAGAGCATCCAGACATTGTCATTGTGGCTGATTCACCACAGGAAGCATTCAAAAACCATTGTGCAAGTATGGCAGAGAGAAATGCAGAAAGGTTTGTGCTCTATTCCAAAGGTTTCGATTACTGAGTTTTGGGCCAAGGCCTCGCATGCATCATCAGATAAAATGGATTGACCGTGAGGTACAAACTGGCTTTATGATAAAGATATTTTTGTAAAAAAATGTTAAAAAAATAGCTATAAAATGTGTTTGATGGCCAACATGTAGTCTAAGGTTATTTACTTGAAAGCCCAAAAGTTGAAAAAACACTAGGATTCCATGTGTTAGTTAGCCTAGCGTAGCATAATAAACTTATTTTTGTAAGCGAAAAGCATCGGATCAGTGACAGATAATTAAAGCCCTGCTGCCTAATTCATTTTTTCTATGCAATTACTTTTTGCTGATTACTGACATAACTTAAATGGGTTTAGTATTGGACTTCTAAAACGGCTCCGTCGCTTTACCCAATACAACGACAAAGCCATACCTAATGTCAATCACATCACACGTGGACATAATCCCTACACTGTTGTCTAAATGAAACAGATGTGGAAATTCATGATTTCCATCTGCTTCACAAAAGAAATCACTGGTAATTACATAAACTTGTTCATGTTAGGAAAAAAGTAAAATTACACAGTTAGATAATAGCCAGTGTTGAGCTTCAAATAATTATCTTGATGATAAATAACCATCATTTTAAAAATAGTTGTTAATAAAATTATTAGCTATTCAATATTGAGACAAAATAAGCATATATACATTTTATATACATGGAACACTCAATTACCCAGAAATAATGAAAGATTAAAATTTCATCAAAATGGTAGCTAAATTAAAAAAAATACAAGAACAACGAAACTTGAATACAAATATTTATACATATATATTGATTTTTTTAAGAAAATATCAGTGTTATAACTATGATGCTTAATTACTTGCAATCTCCTATATTCGAATTAATTATTCTAGAAACAAACAGAAATATAGTTTATGACCCTCATCATAAAAAAAATATTAATTTTTACGTAATGTCGTTATATTATTATGTAAGTTCTAACAATACAACATATAACAAGTACAAATGGTAATATATGAGAGTGAATGAGTATATGGGTAATAATGATTTTCCGTTATTGTCATTCTATCTACCACTAATGATATATTCCAGCACACTTTTTCCAGACCTCGGTTCACCTAAGTTGGGTTGAATAAAGACATTGGTTAGTGCACTCACCTTCATCAAGATCGATGGTTGGGGGTTCAGCGATTAGTGACAAAGCAGGCAGCTCATCGCTGGACCTTCTCAATTTGGTCTATATATATCCTTCTTCAGGTATGGATCCCAGACCACACTAGCATACTCAAGCTTAGGCCTCACCAGTGCTTTGTAGCCTTTTTTTTCTTGACCTTTGAAGAGGAAATCTTCAAGTTTCTCCTAAGAAAACCCAAGGGAACTGTTGGCACCATTAGTATTACTAATGTGGGAGCCCCACTTCAGGTCAGAGGTAATAGTAACCCCTAGGTAGTTGGCCTGATCAACGTGGCCTGATCAACGTGCTCTAGTGCTTGGGCATGCAGCATGTACTGGTGGAGAAATGGCTTCCTGGTTTTGTGTATTGACATGTACAGGACTTGACACTTACCAGGATGAAAAGCCATTCTCCATTTACCCTCCCAGTTTGCAAGTGCATCAATGTCTCTTCGCAGGGATCCGGCATCTAAGGTAGATGCAACTGTTAAGTACATAACTGTATCATCTGCAAAGAGGTGTACAGTTGAGTTAATAACGTCTACTATGTCATTGATGTATTTTCATTCTACGAACCTGTGCATTTTTAGCTCTTCTTATAGAATGGTCCAAGTGCATTTGTTTATTGTGGAATATTTCTGTGCCACATGTTCCGTTTCAACTGAGATACGCAAATGTAGCCCAACAGCACCTCATCCCATATGGTGCCTCATTACCAACAGCACAGAGACACATTGATAACAGTGCTTTATTGAAATCCACACCTCATTATTTGCACCAGTGTGTTTAAACACTTTTCTGAAAAATACATTCCCTATTTGGATCAGCCCAGGTGTACATGTAGCTCTGCCAATGTTATTGGCTGTTTCTGTAGACGACAAAAGCTTTGCTAACTCTTATTCTAGATATGTTCTGTGGTAGTGTAGTAGGAGAAAGAAAAATGCACGGCTAGATGGGGGTTCAAACCCGGAACCATCTGCACTCTAGACAGACGCTTTGCCAATTGCGCTAAGCTACTTGGTTGCAGACGAACGACCCAATCTAATTCCTCTGCATTCCTTCCTCATTTTTCGAAGACATCACTATTTACAAGTCAACCCAGGTTTTGGTATCCCCTTGTCTCGAGCATTCCCCAAGTACTTGAAACAAGGGTTGGTCACAGGCAACACTGGGACCTCCAAATAGACGGTCGCTCTACCAATTGCAAAACATCTTGCAATAGCATTTAGCTCCTTTTGAGCAAGTCAAAACTAGTGTGGTCAAATAGAACTGTGTGACTTGTATAGCACACAAGGCAAGCTATATACCCACAGAGTGTGAACAACACATGCGTCGGACAGAACATAGAGCTGAGAATATGGAAGAGAGGTGTATTTACTGAAAATTCTCAAGACCAGATGTTCCAAATAAAATTTATTCATTTACTTAATACTTAACATACAGATGTATGTATTTATACTTTTTTCTGATACAGGACTTAAAATTATTTTTATCAGACTTAAAATGCATTGGTCCCAATTCTGATTGGAGCCAGTCCTTGAGAGGACCTGTTGGTTTGTCTAGGTTGAATGAGTCAACTGTCTAAGCAGTCAGAGACTCAGGAAAACTGTTACATTTCTGCACTACATCCTTGGTGTGAAGTTGCGACTGCTGTGCATGTTGAAACATAAGTTTTGCTAATATTGTAGTATTTCGCTTACAATTCCTAATTGGTTAAAGATTTAAAATTTGTTGTGACCAAATGCAAACTCCATTTCTGAAACAGATGCCATTATATTTATTATGGGTCAGATATGAAACTAATTGCTTCAAGATATCAAGTGATAAAATATATACCTGTAATATCAACATGATAATCAACTAGCTAGGCTTATACACTGAAACAACAGGTGACCAGGAACACACCTGTAACTGACCTGTCAGCATGACAGATCAGGGAATTAATCTTACTGTAACTCTTGTACTCAGGTTTCACAGGTAATGAAGTCGACTCCGTTGTCGGTACCAGGAAGTACAGCTGTAGTGCTAGATGTTTATAGCTCCAAACCATTAGATAGTAGGAGATAACAGTAGCTACAGGGCTGATCAATAGGCTTCATATGTACCAGGTGTCTGTCATACTGCCCACTACCTCTGTGTGTATAACCGTACCAGGGGTCTGTCATACTGCCCACTACCTCTGTGTGTATACCCATACCAGGTGTCTGTCATACTGCCCCCTACCTCTGTGTGTATAACCTTACCAGGTGTCTGTCATACTGCCCACTCCCTCTGTGTGTATAACCTTACCAGGTGTCTGTCATACTGCCCACTACCTGTGTGTGTATAACCATACCAGGTGTCTGACATACTGCCCACTACCTCTGTGTGTATAACCTTACCAGGTATCGGTCATACTGCCCACTACCTCTGTGTGTATAACCATACCAGGTGTCTGTCATACTGCCCACTACCTCTGTGTGTATAACCTTACCAGGTATCGGTCATACTGCTCACTACCTCTGTGTATAACCGTACCAGGTGTCTGTCATACTGCCCACTACCTCTGTGAGTATAACCGTACCAGATGTCTGTCATACTGCCCACTACCTGTGTGTATAACCGTACCAGGTGTCTGTCATACTACCCACTACCTCTGTGTGTATAACCTTACCAGGTGTCTGTCATACTGCCCACTACCTCCGTGTGTATAACCGTACCAGGTGTCTGTCATACTGCGCACTACCTCTGTGAGTATAACCGTACCAGATGTCTGTCATACTGCCCACTACCTGTGTGTGTATAACCATACCAGGTGTCTGTCATATTGCCCACTACCTCTGTGTGTATAACCTTACCAGGTATCGGTCATACTGCCCACTACCTCTGTGTGTATAACCTTACCAGGTATTGGTCATACTGCCCACTACCTCTGTGAGTATAACCGTACCAGGTGTCTGTCATACTGCCCACTACCTGTGTGTATAACCGTGCCAGGTGTCTGTCATACTGCCCACTACCTGTGTGTATAACCGTGCCAGGTGTCTGTCATACTGACCACTACCTCTGTGTATATAACCGACCAGGTGTCTGTTATACTGCCCACTACCTCTGTGTCTATAACCGTACCAGGTGTCTGTCATACTGCCCACTACCTCTGTGTGTATCACCTTACCAGGTGTCTGTCATACTGCCCACTACCTCTGTGTGTATACCGTACCAGGTGTCTGTCATACTGCCCACTACCTGTGTGTGTATAACCGTACTAGGTGTCTGTCATACTGCCCACTACCTCTGTGTGGTTAACCTTACCAGGTGTCTGTCATACTGCCCACTACCTCTGTGTGAATAACCTTAACCTAATTTTAAGCTGCATCCTTCAGGCATTTACATGGTACAATGAGGTCTTTGTTTAGTCAATTAACATTTTTTTACCTGTATTTACTGATCCTGATGTAGGTTATTAGTGATGTACATATGTGTATGTATGTTGTTATATTATACATGTAGTGTAACGGGTGTTTTATGAGTTAACTCATTCAACCCTGATGACACATTTGAACTCTTCCAGTTCAAAGATTGGAAAAGTTGATTATGAAATTCCAGGGGGGGGGGGGGGGGGGATGAGTTAATAGAGACAATGTGTCACAGTTGAATAATATTCCTGCAAGTTACGTTACTTCATTAGTAGAGTGAGCACTAGAATTTTTATTCAGGGAATTTATGGTAGAAGTTTCCATAAAACATGTTATTGATTAGAAAAAAACTCTAATTCCACATTTTTTGATACTTTCACAGCAAAGTTTTGAAGGCTTTGAGCAATAGATACACATATGTATATACATTAATCAGGAAAAGGAAAGTCTATAGGTAGAAAAGAGAGTAGGCTGGTTTTAAACTTTGGCTGAAAGTTCTTTTAAAAGTAATTTTTATGTTGTGTTATTTCTACAACTGCAGTTAAATCCAGTGTACGACTGACCTTTATGTACCTGGCCAATGATGTCATACAGAACAGTAAGAAGAAAGGACCTGAACTGACCAGGGACTTCGCTACAGTGTTACCCGAGGCCTATGCAGTAGCATCAAAGTAAGTGTTTAAATGTGAAAAAGTCAGCCTTGAGTGTTACCTTACACTTATACTGTCACAACCCTGTAAGTATTTATACAGTGTAACAATGTTACCAACACTTACACTGTAACAACCATGTAAGTGTTTATACAGTGTAACAATGTTACCATGCCAACACTTACACTGTCACAACCATGTAAGTGTTTATACAGTGTAACAATGTTACCAAACACTTACACTGTAACAACCATGTAAGTGTTTATACAGTGTAACAATGTTACCATGCCAACACTTACACTGTCACAACCATGTAAGTGTTTATACAGTGTAACAATGTTACCAAACACTTACACTGTAACAACCATGTAAGTGTTTATACAGTGTAACAATGTTACCATGCCAACACTTACACTGTCACAACCATGTAAGTGTTTATACAGTGTAACAATGTTACCAAACACTTACACTGTCACAACCCTGTAAGTGTTTATACAGTGTAACAATGTTACCAAACACTTACACTGTCACAACCCTGTAGGTGTTTATATAGTGTAACAATGTTACCAAACACTTACACTGTCACAACCCTGTAAGTGTTTATACAGTGTAACAATGTTACTAAACACTTACACTGTCACAATCATGTAAGTGTTTATATAATAGTGTTACAATGTTACCAAACACTTACACTGTCACAACCATGTACATGTTTATACAGCGTAATAATGTTACCAAACACTTACACTGTCACAACCATGTAAGTGTTTATACAGTGTAACAATGTTACCAAACACTTACATGTGTAAAATGTGTTTTTGTAGAGCAAGAATGTTAGCAGACATTAAAAAATAAAGTGTCAAATATTCTGTTAAATGTTTATACTCAATAGTTCAGCAGTATGTTATAGTATGTTACTGTATGTTACTGTATGTTACAGTATGTTATAGTATGTTACTGTATGTTACAGTATGTTATAGTATGTTACAGTATGTTACAGTATGTTACTGTATGTAATAGTATGTTACTGTATGTTACAGTATGTTACTGTATGTTACAGTATGTTATAGTATGTTACAGTATGTTACTGTATGTAATAGTATGTTACAGTATGTAATAGTATGTTACAGTATGTTACTGTATGTTACAGTATGTTACAGTATGTTACTGTATGTTACAGTATCTCTATAAGATTTAGATATACTGGATAAAACTTATTGTGAATAGGAACCCTTTGATGGAGGAACAGTTATCCAATGTGATGTACTATTTCTATATCATTACAGAGATGCTGATGATAAGACTAAGAAGTCATTAGAAAGAATTTTAACCATTTGGCAAGAAAGAGGAGTATACGACAAAACCTTTGTGACCAAAATAAAACAAGACACAGGTAGGTGATGAGTGAGAGAGGGTTCATACTTTGATGTTACCTTGATAAAGAGTTACAACACTTTTAGTGATAAAGTTACTATGAGATAGAGCTACCCTGATAAAGAATTACAAGAGTTAGGGTGATAAAGCTACCCTGATAAAGAATTACAAGAGTAAGGGTGATAAAGCTACCCTGATAAAGAATTACAAGAGTTAGAGTGATAGAGCTACCCTGATAAAGAATTACAAGAGTTAAGTGATAAAGCTACCCTGATAAAGAATTTCAAGAGTTAGGGTGATAAAGCTAACCTGATAAAGAATTACAAGAGAAAGGGGGATAAAGCTACCCTGATAAAGAATTACGAGAGTAAGGGTGATAAAGCTACCCTGATAAAGAATTACAAGAGTTAGAGTAATATAGCTACACTGATAAAGAATTACAAGAGTTAGGATGATAGAGTTACCCTGATAGAGAATTACAAGAGTTAGGGTCATATACTCTAAGAGTTACCCAGATAAAGAATTACAAGAGTTAGAGTAATATAGCTACACTGATAAAGAATTACAAGAATTAGGATGATAGAGTTACCCTGATGGAGAATTACAAGAGTTAGGGTCATAGACTCTAAGAGTTACCCAGATAAAGAATTACAAGAGTTAGGGTAATATAGCTACACTGATAAAGAATTACAAGAGTTAGGGTAATATAGCTTCACTGATAAAGAATTACAAGAGTTAGGGTGATAGAGTTACCCTGATAAAGAATTACAAGAGTAAGAGTGATATAGCTACACTGATAAAGAATTACAAGAGTTAGGGTCATATACTCTAAGAGTTACCCAGATAAAGAATTACAAGAGTTAGAGTAATATAGCTACCCTGATAGAGAATTACAAGAGTTAGGGTCATATACTCTAAGAGTTACCCAGATAAAGAATTACAAGAGTTAGGGTCATATACTCTAAGAGTTACCCAGATAAAGAATTACAAGAGTTAGGGTCATATACTCTAAGAGTTACCCAGATAAAGAATTACAAGAGTTAGGGTCATATACTCTAAGAGTTACCCAGATAAAGAATTACAAGAGTTAGGGTCATATACTCTAAGAGTTACCCAGATAAAGAATTACAAGAGTTAGGGTCATATACTCTAAGAGTTACCCAGATAAAGAATTACAAGAGTTAGGGTCATATACTCTAAGAGTTACCCAGATAAAGAATTACAAGAGTTAGGGTCATATACTCTAAGAGTTACCCAGATAAAGAATTACAAGAGTTAGGGTCATATACTCTAAGAGTTACCCAGATAAAGAATTACAAGAGTTAGGGTAATATAGCTACACTGATAAAGAATTACAAGAGTTAGGGTAATATAGCTTCACTGATAAAGAATTACAAGAGTTAGGGTGATAGAGTTACCCTGATAAAGAATTACAAGAGTAAGAGTGATATAGCTACACTGATAAAGAATTACAAGAGTTAGGGTCATATACTCTAAGAGTTACCCAGATAAAGAATTACAAGAGTTAGAGTAATATAGCTACCCTGATAGAGAATTACAAGAGTTAGGGTCATATACTCTAAGAGTTACCCAGATAAAGAATTACAAGAGTTAGGGTCATATACTCTAAGAGTTACCCAGATAAAGAATTACAAGAGTTAGGGTCATATACTCTAAGAGTTACCCAGATAAAGAATTACAAGAGTTAGGGTCATATACTCTAAGAGTTACCCAGATAAAGAATTACAAGAGTTAGGGTCATATACTCTAAGAGTTACCCAGATAAAGAATTACAAGAGTTAGGGTCATATACTCTAAGAGTTACCCAGATAAAGAATTACAAGAGTTAGGGTCATATACTCTAAGAGTTACCCAGATAAAGAATTACAAGAGTTAGGGTCATATACTCTAAGAGTTACCCAGATAAAGAATTACAAGAGTTAGGGTCATATACTCTAAGAGTTACCCAGATAAAGAATTACAAGAGTTAGGGTAATATAGCTACACTGATAAAGAATTACAAGAGTTAGGGTAATATAGCTTCACTGATAAAGAATTACAAGAGTTAGGGTGATAGAGTTACCCTGATAAAGAATTACAAGAGTAAGAGTGATATAGCTACACTGATAAAGAATTACAAGAGTTAGGGTCGTAGACTCTAAGAGTTACCCAGATAAAGAATTACAGGAGTTAGGGTCGTAGACTCTAAGAGTTACCCAGATAAAGAATTACAAGAGTTAGGGTCGTAGACTCTAAGAGTTACCCAGATAAGGAATTACAGGAGTTAGGGTGGTAGACTCTAAGAGTTACCCAGATAAATAATTACCCTGATAAAGAGACAGTTACTCTTGATTGATGTCCACTGTGAACTATGAATACAAATCATTACAGAATGTTCCGACTTTAAACACATTTGTGATAACTACTCTCGAGTCCCGAATATGAAAACTCTTTTCAGTTCCGTGAACTTGAAGGCATTATTTAACTATTTGAAAGACATCGGTCTATTCTATAGACTCCTATGTCTTTTATCCCACCTTACCCTTTTTTGACGCTATATATATCACATAGCCCATACCATCTATTCGTTATCATTTTTATTATTTTAACCCCCTTTTTATTTTAATTGTCTACACATACAATGCGAATGCTTTTAAAATGAACCTTTTTATCTGATTTTATTATCGCTACTTACATGTTTGTTTAAAAAAAATCAAAAAAATCACCATAGCCCTAAATGTCAACAGCCGTCGATGGGCTGTTAAACCCAAATAAACAAATAAAAACAAATCATTTCAGAGATATAAACTAGTGATGAGAGACAGTTATTCTTTCAGTGAAAGTTCTCTGTGAAAATGATTCCTTGCTAAAATCAATTTATAAATTATTGTTCTATGCCCGGCCGTTTTATGGGTGAGGACCACATAGTGTTAACCATATGTATGTGTCTTTGTTCTAGCAACTTCTGTTTATAACAGAATTTGTTAAAACTTACAAATATTAAGGACAACCATCACTAAACTGTATCTGCCCAGGGGCATTCATGTCTTACAGTCATTTTATGTTTTACATGTATTTATTTTTAAGTGTAAAACTTACATCATGACTTGCACCTTTCATAAAATTCTAGTGTAAGTTGAGCAATGTGTAATTTTGTATAACTTTACTTTAAGATTTGGGAAAGAATGATTCTAAACCAGCTGAAAAGACGAAAAAGAAGGTGGATGAATATGTTGCTACAAAACCTAAACATCACAAGTCTAAGAGTAAACACCGCGATCGTGAGCCAGCTGGTAAGTCACGTCCAGATCCTTGTGTCAGTGGTCAGATAGATCCTGTCTTCAGATATCACATCAAATTCTTGTGTCTTAAATACATAACATTCTGTCCTAAGATATCACATCAAATCCTGTGTCTGAAATACATAACATTCTGTCTTCAGAAATCACATCAAAACCATGTGTCAGAAATCAGATAGATTCTGTCCTCAAATATCACATCCTGATCCTTGTGTCAGAAATCAGATAGATTCTGTCCTCAAATATCACATCCTGATCCTTGTGTCAGAAATCAGATGGATTCTGTCCTTAGCTATCACATCAAAACCATGTGTCAAAAATACATTACATTCTATCTTCAGATATCACATGAAAATAAATATAGATAATTTGCAAAACAAATAGCCTGGGCTCAAAATTTAAAGAAAATGGAAAGCACACATACAAGGTATTACCTAATCTGGGGTACATAAGTAATGGAACCTGATATATTTGTAGTCAAGCCCGTGGCAGAACCAGTGACACCTGTTGCTGTCGTACCGGCTAAGAAGAAAAAGAAAGAAGATGATCTGAGTCTAATAGAGGAGATAGAATCCATGCCTAATGATCCCACAAGTAATACTGGTGATGTAAGTGTGATATCAATGATCCCACAAGTAATACTGGTGATGTAAGTGTGATATCAATGGTCCCACAAGTAATGCTGGTGATGTAAGTGTGATATCAATGGTCCCACAAGTAATGCTGGTGATGTAAGTGTGATATCTTCACTTGACCTTATAACCCCACTAGGGAATGCTACGTTGCTTTTCTGCCTTGTGGTTTCTTCACTGCCTCAACAGACAAAATCATTTTTTCCCAAAAAACTTGTTTGTAACTTTGTCTATGAATATGTTTACTAGTATATCTGTAGTCATGAACAGATTTTGACACTTGTCAACTATAATGTGCAGATTTTTTTTGATTTTTTTTATATTTCAAATCATCTATACATGTAGTAACAAAAACAGATGGGTCAGTTGTACACCGGTAATGTCTATTTCAGTCGGAGGCATTGGTCAAGAGGCTGGCCGACCTAGAGCACTCTGCATCTAGTGATGCTGCAGTACGAGAGAAGATAGCCGCACTACCACCAGAGGTGTCCGATATACAGCACCTGTCTAAGGTTCAAGGTAAATATGTGCTTATTACCATAGCTAGAAAATTAAGGAATAATTAATATGACATTATGAACAATGATATACAGTTAAAAAATAAAATTATACATACAAAACAGAACAAAGAACAAAAACCATTTGGATAAAGACAAATTGATGATTTCATTGCCGAATTTTGTGACTTTAATTTTGAATTAATAATTATCAATTTAACAATTTAATTTGTGGGAGGGGTATAGGAATCTTGACAAATATTTTTACATGAAAGTAAATGCTGTTTTTCCTATAAATAGAAATTATACTATATAGTTACCTATGTCATTTATAATTAAATATACTGGTAATTATTCAGATAAAGAAGCTGCAGTGAAACTAGCTAGTCAGGTAGAGGAGGCCTGTATTCTCCTGTCCGAGTACAACTTCAGACTTAATGCTGAGCTGGAGGAGAGGAAAGCGGTGGGCAAGATGCTACGAGACTTTATAGTGTGTCAGAGGGAACAGCTCACAGAAGCTGAAAATAAGGTAGAGGTAAGGTGGAGCAGGTTGTTTTCCTGAAATTTACAAGAGGAGTTGTCTCCCCTCCTCTGTAATGGGTTAGATTTTCTTTCATTACAGTGGTGGTTCAGGGTTGAGGTAACTCCATGAACTGTTCGTTTATGCAGACAAAATGGTTTGCCTTTTTTCACAATGCAGCATTTTTTTAGATAAATCCTGACAGATCTATTAATGTTAATGCGGGCATTGGAAGTGAGAACCCGCTGGAAACCATCATCAGATTGCTATGTCTGTCTCTGTTTCCTAAACTTAGGACAACTCTGTTCCATCTGGTCAATCCGTCTAAAATGCCAACTTTAATGGAGGTGTGAACTGATATACCATGTAGTTTTCTGAATAAAAACTAAATTAAAAAAAGTAAGATTTGTAATGGTTTGGGCCTCAGAAACAAAACACTAATTAGGAGTAAATTGTAACAGTTACTGTATATTTCTTACAGGCCTAACAAATCTAAGGTGAAGTTTTGTGTACAATTATCAGACCAATATCAACATTTATTATTTTAGAATGTGACATATTTCTAAAAAAGTATTAACTTTATAAAGATAACTTTAATCCGTTATTTAAAGAAATATCTGAAAAAAAGTGTGATTTTGTGTTAAAGTGCTGTTTAGAAATTTGTTTGCGTCTATTTGTCTTTTCCTTAGGATTACAAATCACGACTAGAGAAAGTGACGAATGTACGATTAGAGCTCTCCTCACACATACAAAACCTACCAGATCTTACCTTATTGCCTGATGTCACTGGAGGGTTAGCTCCTCTTCCCTCAGCCGGAGATCTCTTTTCACTGGATCAAAGACATTGATACAGGTTTGTGTGATCAGTTACCTGGTATTCATCGCTACCAGTAAATTATGCTGGACTATAGGATGGCACTATGTGCTGATGTCCTTCTTTCTAACTGTAGGTCTGTCAATCACTGCTATGTTCTGATGTCCTTCTTTCTATCTGTAGGTCTGTCAATCACTGCTATGTTCTCCTCTGGCCAGAACTGCTAAACAGGAAAGTTCATTTTTTGAAGGCTGAATCACAACAGGATAAATGTGAATGACATACCAGAACAGGAGAAGACTTTTAGAGGCTATGCCTGTTGTCAAATCCTTTATTATTAAAAAAAAAAAACACAATAAAATTTGTTGAAACAAAATAACAGGATAACATGTTATGCACAACTCTCAGGTCAAAGTCAAGGTCACAGTTAGAGGTCAAGAGTAAAATTATTGTTAAGCTTGTCTTGGTACATGTATAGTTTCAGCGAATTTCTTCATTGGCAGTGTGTCACAAGTAGCATTCAGGGTTTTACCTCAAGGACACAGCAAAAGGTCAAAGGTCAATTCATTTTATTGCATGTCCACGCCAATATTTCTCAATTGTTCAGCATTTTTAGCTCACCTGGTCCAAAGGACCATGGTGAGCTTATGCCATACCGCACGTCTGTTGTCCGTATTTTGACTAAATTTGGTCTGGAGCATCCTTAGGCCAAGGGAACTCAATTTTGTATAAATGGTGGGTGTGGCCCCCCTCGGGGCAGAGGAGCGGGGCCAAATAATGAAAATAGAGGTAAAACCTTTAAGATCCTTCTTCTACCGTAGGGGTTGAGGGATTTTCTCCAAAGTTAACCTGGAGCATCTTTGGGCCAAGGAGACTCAATTTTGTATAAACGGCGGGGCCCAATTGTTGAAACATAGCAAATTCTTCAAAATCCTCCTTTTCCTTTAGGAATGACAGATCTTTGTCCAGTTGCATATAAATAGAATCCCGGACTAACCATATAATACATGTACAGCAAAATCTGGCTATTTCAACTTCAATTTTGCTAAAATGTCAAGGTACGCAATACAGGCCCTTTGGGCCTCTTGTTCTAATGTATCATGCCATACTACTAGGTCAAGGCCAAAGCTAGCACCAAATGTCAGATGATTGTTATAGTTGTCTTGGCCACAACTAATGATTAACTCTGTTAATTTTATTGCTTGTTTCACAACTTAACAGTTTGTTGCATATACCTTGACTTTGTCTCCGTTAATATCATTTTCTTATGTCGATATAACTAATAATTCACTTCATCAAAAGTCCATAATTGTGCTCAGATGTTGTTATCTAAGTGCGAAGTACATAATTATATTTGAGCATAAAGTCACTCAGTTAGATCTAAATGAGAATCCATTGACTAATGACTACCTGGTATATACTGATTAATGTCCAGCTCTTGTTTTTACCAGCTGATCTTGATCAATTTTAAACCACACTATTAAACTCACCTGGTGATCTGAAAATTTGGAAATTTAACTGTGGTGTTTTTGAGAACCATACTTGTACAATGCCAACTGAAGTTGAACTAGGTCATTACTGGCTGAAGATGGAGAAATATGTTAAATGCTGAATATAAATATGAAGTGTGTGGTTAATTGCAGGGCCATTCCAGGGGGTTTGTAAGGATACGATTCTGTATGGATGAGCAGATGTGTGATTGCGTGGACTTTTGGATGGAGCGAGGATGTTTTATGACCAGGCACTTCTGGATACAATTAGGGCCGACGTATGATGTCTGGGCAAATCTGGATAAAGTGAGGGCAAGTGATGTCTGGGCAATTCTGGATGACGGGAGGGCAAGTGATGTCTGGGCAATTCTGGATGACAGGAGGGCAAGTGATGACCGTATACTTTTTTGTATCCAGCAACAAGTGCTAACAGTCTTGGCAATGCATTGAAAAACTGAAACAACACAATGCTGAATTCCAAGTATTTGAAAATGAACACTGTACATGTACATATGAAGGAACATGCTTCTGCTGGATTGAACGAAACCATTACTATAAGCTTAACATATTCTGCTTTTGTAAAATGATCAAAACAAGGGCCTAGACCAGTCTGTTTAAGGTCCCTATTTCTGTGATGTGTGTACTAGTTTAACATGGTAGTTTTATCAGGTATATGTCACAGTTTCGTGCTAATTTCCACAAGGGAAGATGATATGGAGTTATTTGGTAACGAGGCGCTGCATGCTTACTGCATCTGGGTTTTAATTTTTTTATTGTTATTCTCTGAACACTGGTAATTTCATGTGGATAATTTTCTAATTAGCACATCCAATTATATCACTACTCTGAAATAGTAATTCTTTTAAAACTAGCAGTTTCAAGGCATACCTTTTGAAATCTTTAATTGTTTATATCAATGCAATTCAGGAATGAATGGATATGTTATTGAGAAATACAATTTATTTTAAAGTTTGTCAAAGTCTTCAAGAGCAGGGGATAATAAAAAGTTTCTACTAACAAAGTTCACCTGGGATGGGAGAAAAATAATCATCCCCTACCATAAGGGTGTAACAGAAATCTTCAACCCTTGGGTTGATTTTCCTTTGGCTGTCTCACCCTCGGCAGAGCCTCGGGTTAGACAACCAAAAAACATCACCCCTCGGGTAGGAGATTTCTCTATCATACCCTCAAGGTAGGGGAAGATTCTATTAATCAACAGTGAGCATGTCCTTTGTGATTTATTCAGATTTGTAAATTGGGACCTTTGGACCTAAAACATACCACATCCTTAATACTTGTAAAATTTTAATCAGCAGAGCAATTTAAGGTCCTTTGGGCCTCTTGCTTGTATTAAATAATATTCAACCAGTTGACTTGTGCCTAATATCGAAATAAGACATTGATTTATAAATAGTATATGTCTTATCTTAAATCAAGCATTCCTATCTTTTCATGTGTCAGAGGAGTAGAATTTTATGCTAGGTTTTTGTATGGAACAAAGTTCATTGTCCAGAATTGTGTTGGTGCTTTTATGTGTGTGAGCCTGATTTTAACTTGCCATTTTATTTGAATTCAAACTTTCATTTTGAGAACCATGTGGTCATCTTGTATGGGGAAAACTTATGTTTTTTCCTTTGTATTCTTTTAATGGCACTGTCATATTTTTGGAGTGTGAAAAAAATGGGGTATTAATAACCAATGTCATGCACCATGTGATGTCCGTGTCAAATTAGATAGTATACATCATCTTTGTGTAGGTATCTGATCAGAATCACACTAAAAATGAAAGTCCAATTGGAATACACATTTGTATCAGTTTAGTTTAATCCTGCCACCTTTTTCATCTTCATGAAAACATGTATCAGACTTATTTGCATAAAAGGATTGTAAGGCATTCTTGCTTAAATTCACTAGCACACATATATATGTTATATCCTAGACATGAATGGTTTATAGGGACATGACTGGTGTGAAGTTGGTGTTGTTATGATTGATAGATTGAAGAAGAGTGTCGCGCTACATTTCTACTTCATTATATAGAAGTCTGGGGATCAAATCCTTGTAGTGGAAGCAAGACTTTTTTTTAATAGTGAAAAATAAAATAATAGTAAATGTAAATTCTTTTTGTACATCACAATTTGCATTAGTAACTGGACAAACAACTCCTAGTCAGAAAAATGCCAAACAAAATGGAATTCTTCTATGATGGAGAAACCACACAAAGTGCAGGGGACACTCTTCCTTAAACTCACAATAGCCTGATGTTGAATGTCAACAAATGTTTCTGATGTTAAACAATCATTACTTTGTTTTTTATAGATTACACAGAAATTGGAATAAAATATATAAGCTGTTCAAACTCTATACTGCACAGAGTAGGTGACAAGGGGGATAACTCTTCTGTGATGGAACAGTGTCGATAGCTAGTATTGTTTTAGTATAAACATAGCATAATTATGTTCACATGAAGGCCAACAAAAATCCTTACGTTTGTTTTTTTGTGTCAGGTATGTTCAAAATGTACAACAAACTCGTATTAAACATTAACAATTGACCAGCAAACACTGTTGCTCATCATTTCTATTTTAAACTCTCATATGTATCTACAATGTAGGTCATCGATAGTATATACTCAGCAGAAGCACCTGTCACAATTAATCAATGAACACTAATTGGTAATAAATCTGTTTTAATACTGTAGTATCTATCCTGCAATAACATAAACAACTTTCCTAATATAAATGAGGTGAAGTATTGGTGGAATTAAAGGAGTGTTGTGAGCACAGATGTACAGAACACATGTGTATTGGAGGTGGAATATTAGTCAAATGTGATATAAAGTCTGAACATCTGTGACTGATGAATTTGTTTAGTGGCGAGAATTTTACATTTCCTTTAACAATTTGATACTAGTATTTAACTACTGTGTAATGTTTCAACCAAATACATTAAAACCAGTAGCTGTTGGTTTGGGAGGAAGGACATGGCACAGTACATTAATTTCTGACATAAAGTAAATCAATTTATAGTTCCACAAGCTGGTACAGTAAGTATAAGGAATCAAGGTCAGGTGTAAGCTTGTACCAATGTGTCTGATTATGTGTAACAGATATAAATGGTCTTGATCAAGTGTAAGCTTATATGTAGTACCAATGTGTCTGATACATGTACAATAGGTATAAATGGTCATGATCAAGTGAAAGCTTGCTGTACCTGTGTTCAATATGAAATGTTGGGATTTACATGTGGCTTTACTTGCTTCAATGATGAGTTTATAAATTTCGGTTTTATAATTAATCTATGCTGTATCAAAATTGCCATTATTTTCATAGCCACTGAAGATTTTGTTCCCCTTTTTGAATTTTCAGAAATTGTTATGAATTTTGAAATATTCATATGGTGTATCGTTGTGGCATTCCATAAGATAATCAGTTGTGTATTGAAAGATGAACTGTATTAGGAGATCATCTTGTCTATGTATACATACCGGTAAACGATTCTAAGATGAATTGTATTAGGAGATCATCTTGTCGATGTATACATACCGGTAAACGATTCTAAGATGAATTGTATTAGGAGATCATCTTGTCGATGTATACATACCGGTAAACGATTCTAAGGTGCAGAATAAATACTGTTGCAAGTTTTCAAAACATTTGTTGTTTTTTGTTATTTACTTGATTATACCTTGAAGAACAAAATAGGTTTTAAAAAAAGCTCCTGTTTGTACATCACATGGTCACATCTTGGATGCTGATTGGATAGCTAGGCACTGTGACAGACTTTTGGAGGTGACGGACCTGTTCAGGAAATAAAAGTTGGTTACTTTTTTCATTGTATGTAAAATAAATTCTTTTGATTGCTTTATGGCATCTTATATTAACTTCATCTAACTTTCCCAGAAAATTCTATGCTACAATAATCTAGAAGATTAAACACCCACTAGTCTAAATGTGCGTTGGTTTTTAAATGTTTCTGAGGTATATTAATTTTAAGATTTTTTTTCTCAGGTTTGTTTTCAAAATGTCTTCTCATTTGTGAACTTAATAATGGAGACATCAGACATTATATAAGCCCGATAGTTGAAAGAGATTGAAAACAATAGAAATATACATCATAGCTCACTAGAACCTCTCACATTTTTTAAAACACTTTTCTGTTGGTTGGTTGGTTGGTTGAATTGGTTATACAATGTACCGTATATTATGCAGTAATTCACATCAATATGACGTGACATAACAATATAAAATTATATTGAATATATTGTCTTCACCACTGGCACAAGCATTTAGGATATGTCACTTTCAGGCAGTTAATAAATTTGCTCATGCTGAGACAACTATAAAATGTTCACATAAATTTAAATTATAAATCTATTTTGCTATTATGATATTTTACTATTCCTTTTTAAACAAATATTTCAAATTAAAAGCTAGAAGTCATAACAAGGTTATTTAGATATAACCAAGATGAAATATATTGAATGTGCATACTTCTATTATTCCAAATGGACATTAAGTGATGGGCCAATTTCCATCACATCCCTATGGATCCTGTTTTTCGATTTTTTTTTATTTCAACAACTTTTAATTATTTGACCTCTGTGACCATAACTGTGGGTCAAGTTAATTTATTTGAACATTTATATTTATCCCAGCATGATTAAAAACTCAACCAAGAAAGCAATAGAGGCTATAAATATCATCTCTAGATATCATTGTTTTACAGAAGTCATTTGAAGGTTTTTATCACATTCGACCCAGATAACCTTTAAAGTGGGTCAAGGTTGTTCATTTGAACAAACCTGTTTGCACTGATTCAACACTGTCATGGCTTGAGAGGGTTCCACTTTAGAAGAAATTTGAAAATGTGACAGGTGGATGGGCGAACAGGCAGCGGATACCTTGTTATTGCATAGATTCAACATGGCCATTGACCAGAAAGCAAGGGGGCTCAAATCTTTGGTAAGTGACCTGCTAGTGTTAGAAAAGTAACTGTCTTGAGACTACATTTCTTTGTTATATTTCATTGTGATGGAATGAGCAGATTAGTCTTGTGTACTAAATGTGTACCCTTCATAGCATAAAGCTTATCAGTACCTATTATAAGTATTACACCAAAAATATGCAGGTTATTTGCTCTGATAGAACTTTACTGTGCCTCAACCTAAATTATGGTTGTAAAACATTCCAGTGATCACGATCGATCACCATTGCGCAAGCGTGTTGAACCTCGACCTTTCACTACCACGAAAGAGAAAGAAAGATTGACTTGACGGGGTAAGTGTAATATGCGTAAGGATTAAAATAGTGTGTATTTGTGATGAATAGTTGATCCTCCATCCTAAACCAAAATGATTACCACCATAAGTTTACCAACTTAGGCGAAAGGGATCAAAGTCTGGATCGTGATGCTACGGTGCGATATTGTTTGACGGCACCGATTTACAATCGCCACCCGAGGCGTTGTAAACAGTTTGTAAATATCGAGTTGTAGTGTAAGTCTTGGTTTCGTGTTTACACTTTAATGTTAAAATGTGTCGGACAGATCTTCATTGATATCACAAACAAACTTCAGGCAATGGTTATTCATTGTAAAGTGTCAAAATCGGATGATCCTTTACAGTTAATATTACCATTCATTTATAATGTTATCAATAAGGCGGAGGATTTTCGGAGATGTGTTTTCATAGAGAACGACTGTATCTTTGGTTTGTTTTATTATGTTAGAGATTTTGAGTGCAATACTTTATGTCACATGATTACGCAAGTTTTAAAAGACTTAATAGCTATGTATTGATCTTTCATTTGTACTTGATTATGAATACCCACTGAAGTAATTAAGTTCCCCTTGGCTTGTGAGTTTACACACAATTTTAGCAGTAAGCTATGACACATGGACCTCATTTGGATATTGTTATTCCAATTACAGAGTTTCAAATTCAGCGATTAATTCCTAGATACAACAGTGAGATAGGACATGTCCCCTTGTAAAACTGGAAAAATACTCTGAACAGGAATATATTAATGCACTTTTTGGTTGATACATAAGTAAAATAACATGCTGTTGAGAGTATGAATTCCTGTATAGATTGATAATGATATTTTGAAGACATTATTGTTTATATGATAGACAAATTAAATATCGTCTACTATTTAAAAATGAAAATGATCAATAGTATTTCTCCTCATATTACTTGTTCAGTTATGTTTGAAGGGATGATAATACAGATTTAAACGCTGGTTCAGACTTGGGAGTTTTTATGTGGACCTAATTTGTAAGGAATAGATAGTCCACTGATGTAAAACAAAATCCTATCATTTGTGTATGCCCTACTCACCGCAACATATAGTGGAAGGGTCATGTGCATAAAGTGCTTGTTTTTTTGTGTTCATGTCTGTCCATAAGGAATCTTTGTTAGGCTTTGCATATAATTTACATTTTGATCCATTACTCTCATACGTCCAACATCATACAACTTTTTATACATGTGGACCTTCATCTTTTTGGATTATTGCTGAAATTAAAGTTCATCGTGGCCTATAGGATCTGCGTCTCCAAGTTTGGCTAGACTTTGGAGTTGGCAGTAGTCTGATATTAGAGCCAATTTGAGGAACAATATTCACAACATTTTATGTATCATTCATCTTGATACTGCATCAATATATCAAATATAGGTCAATTCGACTTATAATTTCTGCCTCACAGACTTTGGTTAGACTTTAGATTTAATGGGTAGCTCAGTTTCTTTGGTTACAGGTTTATTTCTATCATAGTGTTAAGGAGTCAACAAATTTAGTGTTTCAAAAATTAATTGTTTCAAAAGCTGGAAGAAATGCTCTTGCATTTTGAAAAAAATGCATATTTGTGTAATAATCGTTGTACTGATTATGAAACCAATTCTGTTTAACATGGTAAAGGAGAGGGACTGAAAGAAAATATTGTGTTAATGGACTATGAAGTAGGATACATTTTGTAAATGGACTATGAAGTAGGATACATTGTGTAAATGGACTATGAAGTAGGATACATTTTGTAAATGGACTATGAAGTAGGATACAATTGGTTAAACATGCTACCAGTGTAGCTTTATGCCTGGTACCAAGTTTACACATGTACCAAACAGAAACTTGATGCAATCTGGTCTGCATCTCCAAGAAGATGGTTAGTTCCGTGTGGGACACAAGATAAACAAACAATTACAGAATCACTTATGAATGACTGTATCGTGTGTAACTCCCCATAGTAATGGGCTTGTTTACACACAGAGATGCCAGTGTTGGTCCACTTTGATGCTGAATGGAGTAGACAGTAGCACCTAGTGTTTATTATAGGGACACGCCGGTAAAGCCCTCCTCCTCCATCACTGTGTAGCTACTGTCCAGCTGTGTGTACAATGGGTTAGTGCTGACAGTGAAGGTGAAGCCACATCATAACTGATAAATATCACTTCTTGTTTATAGTATCACATTGCCTCCTCTTACATTACTAAGGCCTTCAAAGTTTATATAGATTCTTTTCTGGGAAAAGATAACATACTAACTATGTTAAATACTGAATTGGTGTTAGGCCTTGACAAACATTGTTCGGTTCTGCCTACCTACCCTTTATTTTTGCCCACCTTAAACTTTTTTGCTGTTTTGAAGATCACTCCCGTTTACAATTGTATAAACTTTATAATATAATTGAAAAATAAAATTTATTACCTACCTACCCTAACTTGGTCTTAAAACTACTGGCTCATCCGTTTGTGTCTGCCTCAGTGAAAAAAGATATACTTTATGTGCATTTATACATATAGTATATGTATTTATAGTATCTACCCTTTTTCTGAGGCAGGTGTACTACTGGTATATAGTATCTACCCTTTCCCCGAGGCTGGTGTACTACTGGAATATAGTATCTACCCTTTTTCTGAGGCTGGTGTACTACAGGTATATAGTATCTACCCTTTTTCTGAGGCAGGTGTACTACTGGGATATAGTATCTACCCTTTCCCCGAGGCTGGTGTAATACTTGTTTATATTATCTACCCTTTTTCTGAGGCTGGTGTCCTACTGGTATATAGTATCTACCCTTTCCCCGAGGCTGGTGTACTACTTGTTTATATTATCTACCCTTTTTCTGAGGCTGGTGTACTACTGGTATATAGTATCTACCCTTTCCCCGAGGCTGGTGTACTACTGGAATATAGTATCTACCCTTTTTCTGAGGCTGGTGCACTACTGGTATATAGTATCTACCCTTTCCCCGAGGCTGGGGTACTACTGGGATATAGTATCTACCCTTTCCCCGAGGCTGGGGTACTACTGGGATATAGTATCTACCCTTTCCCCGAGGCTGGTGTTCTACTTGTTTATATTATCTACCCTTTTTCTGATGCTGGTGTACTACTGGTATATAGTATCTACCCTCTCCCCGAGGCTGGTGTACTACTGGTATATAGAATCTACCCTTTCCCCGAGGCTGGTGTACTACTGGTATATAGTATCTACCCTTTCCCTGAGGCTGGTGTACTACTGGTATATAATATCTACCCTTTTTCTGAGGCAGGTACCCGTGACTCACCAGCTGATAACCTCAGTTTGGACTGGTATCACTTACTCACAGTGTTATAACGTTTGTTCTAAATACGTTAGTGTAATTAT